TAACATATTTATTTGAAGGTTGGTCATAATAAGTGTTTCACCTCATTAACCAGCACGTTAGCCGATTCTTGTTTTAGTGCCAAAGTGAGAGAGTTATAAATATTTCAGCTCTCAGAACGAGAGCTTGTTACAATCAAGTGAGGCAATCTTGAAGTGTCAGTTGAACCCAAAATCTCTTTTGAATATCCGAATGAATGTTTCAATGTATAGCTTACAGCATATTTTATTTCTCAGATATGACCTGTTTGCGTACACAGTAGGCACTGGAGATCACTTCAAGGCTTACCTTCAGATTAACAACAGCTGGCACAAATACGACGGCCTCGACAGTCCTGAGGTGTCAGAAGTTCGTAGTCGAGGGGAAGATAATGCCAACTTGCAGCACTGTCTACATTTTAAAATGATCATCCGGCCTTGTTGTGTGTTAACAGACAGACAATGTGCTACAATGTGTCTATGCTTTCTATGCTGAATTACACAACTGGTCAGGTGATGGTGACATGAGAGCTGAAGGAGGATATTTCATTGCCATCCGAACTGACAATGTCTAATGCTGGTTCACTGAATGTGTTAGTGTTTGCTGGAAACTGTGATCGTAGTCTCAAAACTGGAATTGATGCAATGATTTTATTTATCAAATAGGTGAACAATGTTTCCTTTTAGCTGATTTGCGCGTATCAAGACAACCACTTCCACGGTGTACCAAAGTTAGACTATAGTGCAGAATATATAAGTGTACATTGTCAGTGAAGAAGTATTGCCATTTAGTGTTGTAGTTGTCCAATCGATATATTTTGTATTGTGACATGTGTAACTGTCTGTTTATTGCAAATGTACACAAAAAATCCAAACTGACGAAAGGCCTTTCTCATGGAAAATACAGTTTGGGTAACTCACTACTTTTGACTGAAAAGAATTATCATTGAAGCGTGTAACTCGTATGATAACCCTTTCCTTAGAGTACATAGACTAGTTTGTTATATTTTCTTTAATTTTAGATATTATTCCTAAATAAAATGTCTGTGAAAATCCGACTGATCGTTGTTATTGATCAATGAGACACTCAAAAGACAAACAGCCCAAATAGTAAATCTCGATGACGTTTAGAGTCAATTACTGGACAACACCAAGTAACCAACAACTGCTTGGAAACATCTTAGACGGTCTTACACTTTGTCAGATTGTTAGAACATAAACAAAATGAAGAAGGCATTGCGGGTACACCTTTAAGATGAAGCTGATGATGTGTTAATCTTAGTCGATTGATATACTCCTTTACACAATAAATCGAATGAATAGATATATTTATTTATCTTACTTGTAGACGAACATACATTGAATAGCATACCAGTGCTGCTGGTTAGTTTTTTCGTTATTCAGAATGTGCTGAATAAGTAAATACCTCATGCTTATTTGTACACCTGTGAATGGATCCCACAATCTTTTATTACATGAGTGTCAATGCATATATATGACAGCACTACTATAGCTATTCCGTGTAGAGCGTTTGAATAACGAACCCGCTGCTAGCACGTTATTCGTTATTCGAAGACGAATAACGAAACACGAACCCGCTGCTAACTTCAGGCTGCTAGGGGATGTATACTCATATATTATACTTGACCGAGAATATCATTACCTCGATACGATATATTATATTAAATATAAATCGTATAATTCAGTTTGACCTTTACAAGTCTCGTAAATGTTGATATGAATGACGAAGATTGCCCAGTCGCCGAAGACGCCAAAAGGTTCCCTCCCTTCGTGTGTTCGAATCCAACGTACGCCCTGATTATGTTCCCAGGTTTTTCAACACAGTACCCGTACTCATGGATTTCACCAGAGCGGTAAAGTAGTACTTTGGGTTTTCCTCTCACATTAAGCTGAGATGGTGTGAAATATCTGATCTGTTCAACTTTAAACCAAAATAACTTACTTTCTTATCTTTGTCTTATAATAACTGGCCATTTACATAGTGCTGAACTCCATGCACAGGGACATGCTCCAGGCAATATGATTACCCCCGGATAACACAAGCTGCCTGTTAGGCGCTAGAAGGTTAATAGTCATATGACCACCGGGTACCCATTTTCTACTGGATGAACAGAGGCAATTTTAAACAAACTCAGTTGCCTAAGGTGTGAACACATAGGTGCTTCGTTGTGGGACAGGACCGAAATCCTAGAAACTCTCAGGAGTCAAGCTGCCAAACACGGTCACCCATCCAAGGACTCTCCCTGACCAACGTTGCTTTACTTCACCTGATTTGTGACCTGTGCCCACGTGAAAGAGGTTTACGCTTGCATGAAAGAATTGCATCAAAATATTATATCTCAAAAGCAAAACATACTAAACCGACACTTAATATACATAAATAAGAAATATCTGCCAAAGTATTACGAACCTTACAAACGTTGTTCATGTTGACATATATCAACATATGATATGGTATTGTACATTCTTAGAAACTCTCCAAGCAATGATTGTAAGTAAACATCAGCATGTGAGCGGCTGTTGTTCCAGTGAAGAGGCCTTATACCTTACCCTTGAGTCAGTGGTACGTGCAATGGATTTCTTATGACTGTGGAGGGGTAGCTCTTTACTATATACCCTGTCATCAACATCATCATCACCATCATCATTGATTTACATTAAACAATCAAAAAAGTTTGTTCTTCGTGTTGTCGTGTTAATGCCTCTTTCCACAGAACTTTTAAACAATATGTTGTTATTTGAACTTTGACATTCAAACTTCCAGACATAATTTGTAAATGAGGTACAAATGTCACTATACGTCACAATACACACGCACACATGCACACACACACATACACACACATCAGACAGTCTCTGCATATGTCTTTGCTGCTTAAGAGGGGTTTGTAATTACAATCATATACCGTATTTACTAGTAATTACCATTAAATGGCAACTTAGTCAACTTGGAGCATTAACCCTATCAAAAACATGATAGACATTGAAAGATGCGTTATTGAAATAGGAGTGAAATACCGTTCACTTTCTTTGTGCTTGTCTGAGAATCGGGCACGGAAAACAGGACACACTTCTTTGAAAGGCAGTATGGTGATCTAACTTCAGTTGTTGGCGATCAATAGCCCGATTTTATATTGTGATGTTTTGAAATGATTTAACATTTTACACTGAACTCAAACTAGTTTTAATCGAATTGTGATATTCTAGTCGTTATACTGTCCTTCGCTGGCAGATTTTAAATAAGTATACATATGTTTATTCTTAGTACATAACTTTTGTCATCACAATATGGCTGAAATATATATACTAACCGTCCCTCGCCTGTTTTTCTACAGAGATTTACATTTGTGCCAGACAATGGCGGCTATTCATACAAACACAGTTTAATATACTTAGCCAAATACAGCAATGGCAATTGCAATGCATTTACACTGCAACAGTTGTATTAATTAAATTCATTTGGAGGTTCCCAGTAATATTTATGTTCCGTACTCACTAATAAAAACTCGTCTCTGCGCACTTGAATTTATTGTTTTCTTCGTTACTGTTACATATATGACAGTTTCCAACCTACAAAAACCGACGAACAACGATGAATCAATGGCGAACGTGAAATTGTGTAGCTTTCACGCTTCGAAGGGACACACAGACAGACATAACATTTTGCCGCGCACTGCACTGGTCTAAGGGAGATAACTCGTCACATTACCTGCTACAATTTATGTATGGTGATTTGGACACACAAGCAAGAAATGGTATTTGTCCTCTATGACATGTGTACCAGATGATAAACCAAATTCACAATATCTCAGATTTCTATCGATGTTTTTGTAACGTCCTGTTTCAATTTGTAGCTTATGGCATGATATTCTAATCTTTGTTAGATAGCATCGTAGATTCTGTGGAATCAAATTAAGATAAAAGTCATATTCAAACATCTGTTTAACTTTCCAATACAATAGAATTTTACTACTCTTCTCTAACTCACTTCTGCATACAATTATCATTCATGCGTGGTTTAAATGAGGCTACAAATGACATGCAATCACCAGAATACGGATCTAGCCAAACATATGCATAACCATTTTACACAACAATTCCTTTACTGAGTAACACCAATTTTTCCCCTTTTCGCAATAGAGTAGTGATATGTTTACAGTAATGTAAAACTCTACAATATATATTTACGCACAATGGTATTCTACCATATTCACTGTAAACTGCTGCATTTGATGCTTTAGGATGGACATGTAATATTTCCTTACAAAACCTAAGATGTATTTTTCTAATTCCGTGCATAATTTAGGTCCCATATCTCACAACCATAGCTGAGACGAAAGAATCAAAGAGTTGACACCATGTTTTGGGTGAGAAAACTCAACACCTTAAGTGAGAAGACACAGTACTCTTGCAAGCTATTTATATGACACTGTAATCCTTCGGGAGTTTGAGAGACAACAACCATATCAATATGGTGGAAATATCAATGATGAGGATCTTGGGTGAGTTGGTAGGGGATAGGTAATAACCTTGGTCACGGTTGTTTGATCGGTTTTTTTATGTGGATAGCTTACTGATTTTAAAGTCTCAAGTTGTTAACCTTTTGGTTCTGTCCCATTGGATACTATGGTCGGTATTGTCTTGGACGAGGTCTGATGCTCTTTGATTCGGGTTTGAGGGGTCTTGATGTTTTGCCTACATAGTCCTGTCCACAATTACATGGGACGAACAATATAGACCTGTGCAAATTTAAGCACCACTCATAATGTTATAAATGTGTTATTTTGGGTTCTTTATGAACCACCGTCGATGCAACACATTAACATGTGACCACAGACAATGACCACACGACTGTCCATGTCGGACACGGGGGCGTGTCGCGTTGACAACTGACTCTTTAATCTCAGCTTCCTCCATAAGAAACAAAACAAATCAAATTATGTTTATGTTTTATTTTAGTAAAACAATTCAAAACAATAAACAGTATCAATACAATACACAAGACTAAATCATATTTCAACAAAGACAGTAAATGGAAGCTCAATCTTTTGGTGGTCGCATTAGCAAATAACACTTTATAGCAGGGATCGGCAAATTGTCTCAAACCTTCAGTCACACTCTTATGGATCTCAGGCTGTCCAGATTGTTTAACTGAGCCACGTAACATAGGCATGACAAAGACCAGTGCCCACACGACCACCGGAACCGATGCTTCGGTTGATGCCGAAGTAGATGTCGTAATTGGGGGAGCCGCCCTCGGAATCCGACTGTCCATTCAAGGCATACAGTAGGTTCGTGTTGAGGTAATAGTTGAACTCTGATCCCCAGTTGTTCCAGATGACGAGGCCGTCGGCGATGATCACGCTGAGACGGTTGGTGATGATGTTGGAACGGGTCAAGAGAATCCCACCTGCGGGACTATTCTGGTCGTTACCATAGATACGAAATGTAGAACTGGTTCCTTGTATTTCGGCATCCCGTGATGTGGTGGCACCATCCCCACCTGTGATGATAAAAGACCTTAAAATCTAGGACATATATATTCATAATATAGTCGTACCAGCTACCGTTCTATCTCGTGCGTTATGAACTTAAATAGAATTAAGTGCTCAGGTCATGATTTCTTGACCTGCGATCACAGGTTGGGTTCAACATAAAAATGGGCTGTATATAACAAAAAGGCAATTCACTTCAATCTTTCAAGAAATGTGCTTTGCTGATGGCGAACTTAGTTGGATATGAGATCCTAAACTGCTGGGTAATAAAGCAAGGACTGCAGTTTGGATATGCTGTGTGAAAACTTTCAAACCTTATTTTACATTGATTTACTCATTTCTGTTCTGAATAAACAATCAAATCAAACAACGCTGTTCAGTTTTCGCCGTTATCAATACCTTCAATCTCTGTGTTAGGCCTTCCATCGTGTGTTGATCTTCCTTAACCTAAGGCAATACACACTCTCCGAAAGTCTTTTCCTATGTTATTATAATTCATACTACTCAAGCAATATGTGGCATTGAAAACGTTAATGTTATGATTCTTTTATTTAACTGATATGGTTCCACACAGTGCAGCTGTTACCTCACCACATGAGTAGTTCCGTCAACAATGTAAGTTAATCATCTCTCGCTTGATATAATCGACAACCGGAAGATTGTCATAAATGCATTGACATCTTAGTGGTAAGTAACAGAACATAATTATCAATCATAATCTTCACTTATCATTTATTGATCGGCACAGATACAACAATAGTTGACCTACCGTATCCATTATTGGTGGGTGAGTCGCCGATGTTGAACACCCAGCCTGATGGGTTGTTGAACCACATGTCAATCAGAACTTTGTTCTTCCTGTTGGCAGACCCAGGAGCACCAAAGCTCAACTTGAGAACGCCCTTCTTCCCGCATGTGCCTGACCCATACAGGGATGTCGCCCAGGACAGAGAACTGCAGCTTTGGAGGGTCGTCCCTGACGTCAGGTCGACAAATAGGTCATATCCTGCAGAAGAAAAAGCACCAATCGTGATGATGGTACCTCAATATTCTTGGTACATATTACAAATAGGCCACATCAAACATACAAGGGTGACGACCAATTTACTTGTTTACAAATTAACTCGACAAGGATGCAAATGATTGGGACCAATACATCAACCAAAGCTATACTTCTCGTTTCTGGGATTGATTAAAAGTCGTTGCTGCTTTGAGAAATTATAATTTGAGCAACAGAACATTAGGCATATTGTGGCAGAAAAGGATCTGCCCACAAAATACGGCTTTTGTCAAAACAAGTCTATACGTATATGAGCTTTAAAGCACGACAAGGTACAACGGTGTTTCCACATATATGCCTACCTGTGACGAGAGAGAAACAACAGAGCACAGCTAATGTTGCAGGTAGTAGGTGATGCATGGCGGCTGCAGGACGGTCAGGTTCTCTCTGTGTCTGGGTTGTATGATGATCTGCGCACAGCGGTCTGTTATATACAGTACCCCGACAGAGATCAGCCAATACGAGAGATTCACAATACGTCATGTATCCGGGAAGTCTCCATACAGGAAGCGTCTTCATGGATGACTTGGTAGCGATTCGTGATAATATCATCAGTTATTAATAACCACAATATCAAGTAAGGGCATATGTTCTTTTGCTTTTTCGACAGCTTGCATTATGTTAAGTGCATGACCGACTTTTGAAAAGCATTGTGATGGTATTTCTGTGCAGCATACACGCACATCACAAATTATGACACAGTATTTGCGATCAGGAATTGACTCTTACTGTGATACAACATTAATATCAATTATAGCAAATCGACTTTTGAAAAGCATTTTGTAATATCTTTCTCTGCAATGAACATTCACATCACACATTATGATCAGTTTTGTGATCTGGAATGTGATACAACTATCACATTAAGCATAGCAAACTTACACAACTATGGTTGTGGCAAAATACAAGTGGACAATGTCTGAGGCATCTCTTATTTCTTATCGGAAACACCCGATATCCAGTTATCCATTCATATAGTTCCATCCAGTGGACCTTTATACCCATAACTAGGGTCCATGCAGGTAGCAAATGTACTGTAAGTCCCCATTGACCCTAGTATGGTGATCTACCTTCAGTTGTTGGCAGTCTATAGCCTGTTTTTATATTGTTTCGTCTTGTATAGTTAAAATGTTTGAAGTTTGATTACTAGTTTTTAAATTTACATCTGTGATAAACTAGTTGTTTTACTGTCCTTCGCTGACAGGCTTTTATAATTTACCTATAATTATTATAAATATATAACTTGATATAGTCACAATATGGCTGAAATACTGCCGATGAAAATTTTACAACTCATTCACCCCATGGACCCTAGTATGGTGATCTACCCTCAGTTGTTGGTGATCCATAGCCCGTTTTTATTTTGTACTGTTGTCTATAATGATTTAATTTTTTGATAGCGTACTAGTTTTAAATTTAATTCTGTGATGCTGTAGTGTATTTACTGTCCTTCAATGACAAGTTTTTACGTTCAAATTTATTGATTTTAATATATATAATTCCATCCACTGGATCTTTACACCCAGAGGAATCTGTATCAGGGAGCAGTTGAGGCTGCTTATCTTCTAGCGTTGGCGATTTAGAATTTTACATGAATAAATGCATTATCAAGGATCTACACTTTTCTGTACTGTTGTACCTATCTCAGGAATGTATCACACGTATTTCTACATTACTATCACAGAAATACCATAACTGTTCACTGATTAAAATAAGTACAATAGTCTCAGATAATATTAAGATTGTATGCGATAGCAGTAGCTGCACTATTAACTCTTACAGAAAATGTACTTGTCTCAACAAGAAAGTTCGTTATCACGACTGAACAAAACATCGTTGCGGATTAGTTGAGTTTGTCTTGTGACACCATTAAGTAAATGCACTCCATCTTCATAAACTCTGTTACTTGTACACAACTTATGGACCACAACGTATTTGTATTTCATGCCGCCCTATGGAAATCATTCATGACTGAATAACTCCCTTTACTCACATTTGTAAACACAAGTTTGATGTTCGTATTCACTGAATCGTGCACAAGCCTGTCCCGAAGCAAAGAGGCATCTATACTATGGGCCGGAGAGCTTCGATGAATAGAGATATGGGTGTGCGAAGAAATGGTTTCTGATTGGATTGACACTAGCAGTCGCTGACAAATCAGACTCCGGAGATTCGATTTATGATTATTGACAACTCCTGATAAGTCTGAATCTTGAAACAGAATGTTAAAAGGAATGTTTACGTATGTATCAACAACAGGAACCACTGCATCAGACTACTTCCTTGTGAAACGAAACACCCCCACAATGTCATCGTTTAAAGGAAGAAGAAGATAGGGCATATACGCCCAAAGGGCCAACGTGACACAGTATGAAGAATAGAGGACCGTGTGGTTTAAACGATACAATAACATCATGCTTGCATTAGAATTTCTGCATGTGACAACATTACATGAATATGACCCACACAAGAAAAGTTTATCTTACATACAATATCATCATCCCTTCCATTACAATGTCCAAAACATACATACGCAATAGTCCCACAGACACAGACAGACAGACACGCACGCACGCACACACGCACACACACACACACACACTGTTTAACATATCGTCTTACCGACAAACCAGCAATATATATAATAAATACAGAGCAAAACCTCTCCCATTCTCTTGGGACGTGAAGAAAGCAAATATCTCCCTTGATGGATATTGATGAAAATATAGAGAAATATTCAACATGGGAACGCACAGTATCTCTGTGTGCGTTTTAACGTACGTGGATACCCAATTAAACAAAGCCAAAAAGCCCTTTAATCCAATACCCGGTAAGTCGAACGTATATGAAGCAAAATATGCATTACGCAAAAATGGAAAGCAGAATTATATGGACATCCATTTCGGAGTATGTGAAAACATCGACTAGTGGAAGGGTAAATATGATAGTCCTGAGGCACTTCACACAATGACGTACGATAGGCATTTTAAAGGTTGATGAAGAATAATATCGTTGTCTCTCTTGCTTGACCAAGGTATAAGAATCTATTCCTTAACATCGATCCATAATATGATAAAGAAGTTGTCATCCAAAAAGTATCATAACTAACTTATACTTCAGACAAATTCTGAAAACCTTAGTGCATAATTTTGATTCTGCATTGGTTAACGTATAGTAGATGTTTCATCTTATTATTCAATGGGTTATTTTTGGCTTCCATTTGCTTGCTAAACCTGTTCTTGCAGTTGTTGCTGGACAGAGTGTTTCAGTGCGAAGCGCGTGTGTGACCACCCGTCAGTTTGTGTGTGTCATCTTAGTCCTACAGTATATTTCATTCCTCACGTCACTGTTCACTGCGGGGCGGTGGGGTAGCCAATAGTGGTTAAATCGTTCCCTCGTCCCGCCGAAGACCCGGGTTCGATTCCCAACATGGGTACGATGTGTAAACCCCATTTTTGGGTGTCCCCCGCCGTTATATTGCTGGAATATAACCGGCTTAAGCCATACTCCCTCACTGTTTCATCAGCTTTACAGGTCTCCCTGTAATATTGCATTTTGACAAACAGGCGAATCACTATCATGCGTCTACACCCTTCACCTGGAACAAATATTTCCAGGGATTGCTTAAACATTACTTGTAATGTCATATCCTAAACGTATAGATTGTTTGATGAGGTCAGGGGAAGTATACTCATATATTATACTTGGCCGAGAATTTCCTCGATACGATATATTATATTAAATATAAATCGTATAATTCAGTTTGACCTTTACAAGTCTCGTAAATGTTGATATGAAAGACGAGGATTGCCCAGTCGCCGAAGACGCCAAAAGGTTCCCTCCCTTCGTGAGTTCGAATCCCACGAAAGGTCTGATTATGTTCCCAGGTTTTTCAGCACAGTACCCGTACTCATGGATTTCACCAAAGCGGCAAAGTAGTACTTGGGCTTTCCTCTCACATTAAGCTGAGATGGTGTAAAATACTAGTATCTGATCTGTTCAACCTTAAACCCAAATAACTTACTTACTTCGTTATCTTTGTCTTATAATAATTGGCCATTTAAATAGCCCTGAACTCCATGCACAGGGACATACTCCAGGCAATATTATTACCCCGGATAACCCAAGCTGTCTGTTAGGCGCTAGAAGGTTAATAGTCATATGACCACCGGGTACCCATTTGCTGCAGGATGAACAGAGCCAATTTTAAACAAACTCACAACTGCCAAAGGTGTGAACACATAGGTGCTTCGTTGTGGGGCAGGACCGAAATCCTAGAAACTCTCAGGAGTCAGCTAGGCTGCCAAACACGGTCACCTATCCAAGGACTCTCCGTGACCAACGTTGCTTAACTTCACCTGATTTGTGACCTGTGCCCATATGAAAGAGGTTTACGGTTGCATGAAAGAATTGCAACCAACACTTAATACACATGAATAAGAAATATGTGCCAAAGTATTACGAACCTTACAAACGTTTTTCATGTTGACATTTCAACATATGATATGGTATTGTACATTCTTAGAAACTGTCCAAGCAATGATCGTAAGTAAACATCAGCATGTCAGCGGTTCTTGTTCCAGTGAAGAAGCCTTATACCTTACCCTTGAGTCAGTGGTACGTGCAATGGATTTCTTATGACTGTGGAGGTGTAGCTCTTTACTATCTTTTACGGAAGCGTAGTAGGGCCACGGTGAAAACAATTTTTGGTCTCACTATCTCCTACGTGGGACTTAAAATCTCCTACGTAGGACATAACATCTTTTACGTAGGACATAATACATTCTACGTAGTAGTACTATCTCCTACGTGGGACTTCATATCTCCAACGTAGGACTTAGTATCTCCTAAGTAGGACTTAGTATCTCCTTAATATCTCCTACGTAGGAGATGATAGATATATATTAACATTTGTGTATATATACAACTAATGTTCCGTGAGGTGAAAGGGACATTGATAAGAATCCTGCGGTTATGTGGATGGGTCACACATAATTATTAAGTCGAGCAACCACGTCATGACTTGATAATGATTTCTTCCATTGTTTTAATATTACATTTTGTGTCTACTTAGAGGCTAGTAATGACTAGAAATTATTTACATTTCGAATCGGGGTACTGAGTGACGCTTAACGTTGTAATTACGATCGTTGACATCCCTATGCCAATCGTAGCAATTGCAGAAAAAATCCCCTTTTAAGGTTTGGATTATGAAGTATGAATCATGAAGTATGGGTATTAATTTGAGAAATTTTTGGTTATGCAGGACGTTATATAGTAGAAATGTGAGTCAGTGAATATTCATGACACTAAGGCAGTGTTGCTACACAGCGTTATTGTGTAAGTGTATTACGGTTGGGTGACGTGAACCTTCTATTGATAAGTGCAGTTATGGCAAATAGGGTGTGGTTATGTTTGATCTTTCATACATACATCTATTCATAGACAGAGGGATGAGGTTATGATATGAAACTCTGGTAATAACACGTCCTCCGCAAGTTGTTGCTTGTCTTCAAATGGGGCTAGATTGGATCGGATACAACGCTCGTTGTTTGCGATTTGTTTGTTCCTGATTATTTACAGGTTGACTTGACTGGGTGGAAAAGTGTTGAGTGCGGCGTAAAACAATACGAAATTCAAAAAGGCAAAGAGTTCTAGTTATTTGTAAACCTCTGTAACACAAAAGCCATATATTGGCCAATGAGCAATGTCGCTCGCATTAAAAACGCCGCATAGCCTACCGACCGGATCCACTTGAAGTCCTCTCGGACCACAAGCACAGATTACTGGGGTTTAGTTCTAACGCAGAATCCCCATGATGTGATATGCCACAAAGTCAACAAGCTGTAATATTTATTCACAAGAAGATGGTAACGTTGTCTTTCATCTTGGAGGAAGGTCAGGGAAAATATTGTTGACAAACAGTTTCTGTGTCGACTTAGCTACTACACTCGACCGGCTTCTGAATCGTGGGAATAACCATGCATAGATTGCCACCGATAGTCTAACACAGGTCTGTGCATGCAGATTATGACCCATGTGCAACGACCTCTGAAATATCTAACGCATAATAGTAAAGTGCGATAAAATCAACATATGACAGTCAACTAACTGCAACGTGTAATAGAGCAGAACTGAACGCAAGGCAGTAAGGTAGAACAGTCGGTCCAACACATGACAGTAATGTGCAAACAATTAGTTCAACACATGACAGTAATGTGCAGCAATTAGTTCAACACATGACTCTAATAGTGAATGAAACAATAGTCTCTAATAGTAAATGAAACACACGATAGTAGACTCTAATAGTAAATGAAACATATGATAGTAGACTCTAATAGTGAATGAAACACATGACTGTATACTCTTAAAGTGACTGAAACAGGGGATTGTTTGCGTGTCTGGGGATTTAAGTCGACCATTTCAAATTAATGTATATTAATGTACTGAACATCATTGAAAACGCACCAGTCTACAATTGTCCATCTTTTCATCATGGATTTCAGCATGACAATGATCAATGAATATAACTAACATGAAGTCGAAGGGCATATCCAGTTGAAAAAATGCTTTAGAAACAAATTCCTGTCCACAGTATGACTCCTAATTCCAAAATGCATCAACATGCAGCCACGCCATGAACAAAGCGCGAATTTCATTCTGAAATCATACTGACTGTGACATTAAAAGCAGGTGTATGAGAACCGATTCTCATTGCTTCACTAACGATTGTGAAACGAGGACAGATCGAGATGCCGAGGTTAACACCTCACGAAAAAAAACGTCCACTAGGCATGATTCAGGTTGGCACCAGCAGCAGAGATATTGCACGACAACTTGGACTTGGCCACTTCACCATCGTTAGGCCTCATAGACGACATCAGCAGAAAGGCAGCACCCGTGACCTTCAATGATCTTGGCAACAACGTGTTACGATCGCCATATTGACCATATCAGTGATTGAACACTGCCGACTGCCAGGACTGCCGCACTAGTTCTGGGTTGACGTCGGGGTCATCAGCGCTGACTCCATGCGACGCCGTCTACACGCTACAGGGCTCCATGCTCGACGTCTTACGTTGGACTAATTCTGACTGACAGACACCGTAATGAGCGTATGCAATGGGCTAGCAGGCATTTTCAGTAAAGGTTACAACAATGGCATGGTGTGCTAGTCACTGACGAGTCACGTCTTCATCTACGTAATGCTGACGGCCGATTACGTGTTTGGCGTAGACGTGGTGAACGTTATGCTGATGAGTGTGTGGTTCAGACAGACCTTTGGGTGGTGGGAGTGTCATGGTCTTGGGTGGAATAAATTACAATCACAGGACTGCCTTCATGTCTGTCAAGGGAGAGTTAATGCCCTTTATTACCGTGAGCAGATTCTTCAGAATCACACCGTATCTGTCTTCAATCACCACCAAGATGTCCATACTTTCAACAGGACAACGCAAGGGCACACACAACAAGACTTTCCATGCAGTATCTGGCCCAGCAACACATCCAGGTTATTCATTGGCCAGCACAGTCGCCAGATGTATCCCCATGGAGCATTAGTGGGACGAATTTGGTCAAAGTCTTTCGCGGCGACAACAGAAGCGAAACATCCGGAAACCTGAGGCTACACTACTGCAGAAGTGGAATGCCATACTCAAGAACTCTATTCGGACGCTTATTGACTCAATGAGGAGACGTTGAACTGCCTGCGTCAGTGCAAAATGGTGGTCACACGCGATATTGACTTTTCGACCCCACGTGTGTTGATCCTTTGACTGTGGAACATTTCAATGAATGAGCGTCTTTTTCTGTGTTGTTGTTTTTGTCAATCGTCCATCTGTTATTATCCACTCAAAAATATCAATTCCTTACACGTGTTTTTCAATAATCTGAACTTTTATAAGTGGTGCGTTTTCAATGAAGTTCAGTATATATATCGCTCATCTCCTACGTAAGAGATATTGTATGTCCTACGTAGGAGATAATATGTAGGAGATATCCCACGTAGGAGAGACTATAGGAGATATTAAGTGCTACTTAGGAGATATTAAGATACTTAGGAGATTAACTTAACTCCTATGCAGGTTATACTAAGTCCTACGTAAGAGATATTAAGTCCTACGTAGGAGATATTAAGCACTTTGTAGAAGATACTAAGTCCCACGTTGGAGATACTAAGTCCTAAACAATTGGAGGTACTTTGTACGTAACAGATACTAAGTTCTAAGTCCCACGTAGGAGATACTATGACCTACGAAGGACATTTACTAGTAATTACCATTAAATGGCAACTTAGTCAACATGGAGGATTAAATCTATTAAAAACATGATAGACATTGAAAGATGCGTTATTGAAATAGGAGTGAAGTACCGTTCACTTTCTTTGTGTTTGTCAGAGAATCGGGCACGTAAAACAAGACACACTTCTTTGAGAGGCATTAAGAAGTTGGAGCAGTAAAGAAGGATAACAATATATGGATGAACAACGTCTTTATTGCTGTGAGAGCGACGTTTCAGTGTAGGTTCTAACACCGTTATCAAGCAAGTGATGAACAGCATGAGGATGGAGACAGACAGACAGACAGACAAGTGCTAATTTGCTTCAATGAGTTGGACTAACCGTCCCTCGTGTTTTCTACAGAGATTTACATTTGTGCCGGACAATGGCGGCTTTTCATACAAACACAGTTTAATATACTTAGCCAAATACAGCAATGACAATTGCACTGCATTTACACTGCAACAGTTGTATTCATTAAATTCATTTGGAGGTTCCCAGTAATATTTATCTATTTATTTTACCGTTTGTATGGTGATTGGGACACACAAGCAAGAAATGGTATTCGTCCTCTATGACATGTGTACCAGATTGCAAACAAAATTCAAAAAATCTCAAAATTCTATCGATGTTTTTGTAACGTCCTGTTTCAATTTGTAGCTTATGGCATGATATTCTAATCTTTGTTAGATAGCATCGTAGATTCTGTGGAATCAAATTAAGATAAGAGTCATATTCAAACACCTGTTTAACTTTCCAATACAATACATGTATAAGTTTACTACTCTTCTCTCTAACTCACTTCTGCATACAATTATCATTCATGCGTGGTTTAAATGAGGCTACAAATGACATGCAATCACCAGAATACGGATCTAGCCAAACATATGCATAACCATTTTTACACAACAATTCCTTTACACTGAGTAACACAATTTGTTTCACCTTTTCTCAATTAAGTAGTGATATGTTATATGCAGCTTTCAAGACCATGTTTTCAGTGTATAACAATTTAAACCAGTAATGTAAAACTCTACAATATCTGTTTACGCACAGTGGTATTCTACCAAGTTCACTTTAAACTGCTGCATTGATGCTTTAGGATGGACATGTAATATTTTCTTACAAAACCTAAGATGTATTTTTTCTTTTTCCGGAGCATAATGTAAGTCCCATATCCCATAACCATAGCTGAGACGAATGAAACCAAGAGTTGACACCAAGTTTTGGGTGAGAAAACTCCACACCTTAGTGAGAGGACAAAACATTCATAGACTTCAGGCCCTTCCCTGCAAGAGTTTTCTGAACAAATGAAAAAGATCCAGAGTAAGAATATGATAACCGAGATAGTTAAAATGATCCACAATTTCCAAATCCTGACCCTTTAATCGTCCCAAACTCATTATTTTCATTATTTCTTCTTTTACCCTTTGGCGAAAAACCATAACCTTAGTCTTACTAAAATTGACATGCAAACCCCATTCTGCACAGTACTCTTGCAAGATATTTATATGACACTGTAATCCTTCAGGAGTTTGAGAGACAACAATCATATCAATATGGTGGAAATATCAATGATGAGGATCTTCGGTGAGTTGGTAGGGGGTAGGTAATAACCTTGGTCACGGTTGTTTGATGGTTTCGGTTTTTATGTGGATAGCTTACTGATTTTAAAGTCTCAAGTTGTTAACTTTTTGGTTCTGTCCCATTGGATACTATGGTCGGTATTGTCTTGGACGAGGTCTGATGCTCTTTGATTCGGGTTTTGAGGGGTCTTGATGTTTTGCCTACATAATCCTGTCCACAATCGCATGGGACGAACAATATAGAACTGTGCAAATTTAAGCACCACTCATAATGTTATAAATGTGTTATTTTGGGGGTTTTATGAACACATGTCGATGCAACACATTAACATGTGACCACAGACAATGACCACACGACTGTCCATGTCGGACACGGGGGCGTGTCGCGTTGACAACTGACTCTTTAATCTCAGCTTCCTCCATAAGAAACAAAACAAATCAAATTATGTTTATGTTTTATTTTAGTAAAACAATTAAAAACAATAAACAGTATCAAAACAATACACAAGACTAAATCATATTTCAACAAAGACAGTAAATGAAAGCTCAATCTTTTGCTTGTCGCATTAGCAAATAACACTTTATAGCAGGGATCGGCAAATTGTCTCAAACCTTCAGTCACACTCTTATGGATCTCAGGCTGTCCAGATTGTTTAACTGAGCCACGTAACATAAGCATGACAAAGACCAGTGCCCACACGACCACCGGAACCGATGCTGCGGTTGATGCCGAAGTAGATGTCGTAGTTGGGGGAGCCGCCCTCGGAATCCGACTGTCCATTCAAGGCATACAGTAGGTTCGTGTTGAGGTAATAGTTGAACTCTGCTCCCCAGTTGTTCCAGATGACGAGGCCGTCGGCGATGATCACGCTGAGACGGTTGGTGATGATGTTGGGACGGGTCAAGAGAATCCCACCTGCGGGACTGTTCTGGTCGTTACCATAGATACGAAATGTAGAACTGGTTCCTTGTATTTCGGCGTCCCGGATGTGGTGGCACTGTCTCCACCTGTGATGATAAAAGACAGTAACATGTAGGATACAGGACACATCAAGTTGGAATCATATCAGGTGAAGGTTATAGAATGGAAATTTGGGATCCATCAACAAACCTGAATTGTTTTAAATTTCCCTGTAGTCAATTATTCTGAGACAATAATTTCGGGCATCAAAGAAACCTAACTGAATGTATAATATGTTACTGAAGGATACCTGACAACCTATGCAGCCAATGATATGTTTATAATGTATTCTTGCACCAGAGAGGGTGACCGTGAGCAAAACAATCTCCTTGCTAAATGTAGCTTAAACTCCTACTCAATCTATGCAAATAAACAAATCTGATGGTGTTATTTATAAAAGTAACTTTTGATCATGACCAATTAACGTTTATTCCATACTTATGCATACTTATTCCTGTACTTATTACATTAATTACCTTGTGCTTTTTCAGCGCTCAAAATATTCAAATGAGGATAAATTATTATTAACATATGGTAGTAAAGCCGTAGTTTTGAATAATATGCAATGTCAAACATAATGTTATCAATATAAGATAGCTTACCGTATCCGTTGTTGGTGGGTGAGTCGCCGATGTTGAACACCCAGCCTGATGGGTTGTTGAACCACATGTCAATCAGAACTTTGTTCTTCCTGTTGGCAGACCCAGGAGCACCAAAGCTCAACTTGAGAACGCCCTTCTTCCCGCACGTGCCTGAGCCATACAGGGATGTCGCCCAGGACAGAGAACTGCTGGTATGGAGGGTCGTCCCTGACGTCAGGTCGACAAATAGGTCATAGCCTTAGAGAAGAAAAGGAAAATAATTTACATATAATTTCAGGATGGTGACACAATGGTGACACAATGGTGACACAATACTATCACTTAGCTGGTTATTTTCCGTTTATGTGCAATAGAATAGACCATATACATGTACATCTTTGCCTGTTCCTTTTCGTCACTTGAAGATTTATATTTCGATTTCTAGGAAATAATAATTTCTTTTGTTGTTTGATGCTTCATCATGGAATCGAACAACAACATGGGTAAATGAAGCAAAGTATTGTGTGAAAATACATTGCAGATAACTGAATGTTATTTTTGTCCAGGAGTGTAGTATAACTAAATTTAGGAGCTTAAATGTATGCCTCTCAGTGGACAATATTTTAAATTAGTGATATCATATTAAATCAGAAACATGGGTGGTGCTAAGACAACTCCTACGTGGTTTTTTTCTCCTGTAATTCTAAATAAATTATTCAATAATCGAACAAATTATTTTGCATGTCACACAACTGATGATAGTTATCTAAAGACATCTTACGTTTAAAAATCAAAATTGCTTTTAGCCACAAATTTACATTTTAAACTTGCTTGAGGTATTTTACACGTAGATTTTGCTTCTAACGCAGAAATGTAAATGTGTTATTTCGACAGGTAATGGAGCCTGATTATTCTCTGGCGTTGAGGTTTTGCAGGTACAAACAGTCTACAGAGCGTTAATGTCCCACGGCCAATAGCTTACAAACGAATGAATATCAAGATATGACATTTAAATTTGTTTACCTGCTACACAGCAAACGCAACATATCGCTGCTACTATTGTCGATAGTTGAAGCATTGTGAAGATGATAATGCTGACTTCAGTCTTCGGTTTGGGAGATAATACAGGGGTACACGCTCCATCAATATATATACACTGTCCCCGACACAGATCCAGCCAATGACAGCGTACTGAGGGACGTCATCGGATACATTTGTGTGTAAACAGTCGATTGATTGACAAAGACGTTGGCTGTGACGCTGTGAACGAAAGGCAGGCTTACCTCAATAGCTTCAGGGTGCGGGGTTAATTTATTGTTCGCGACTGTTTGACGAACTTCGTCATAACGTCGATTCCCGGAACACGAAACGAAAAAATATCCGGTAGCATTACAATTGTTTGATATTGTTGTCAGTGTTGGAGTCCAACTGGAAACTACTCGTGTCATTTAAAGATATTTTACACGAAATTCTTAAATATAACCACGATTTAGGCGAAGTGCCCAGCCTTCAGTTATGCACATGTATTTATCTCCATCTTAACGTGTATGACGTGTGGTACGTCTCATGGCACCCGGACAAGGACAAGAGATAAACACTTTTGAGCATTAATTCTGAGTCTGTTGTCCCAAATGTTAAAATTTCCGCTCAACGAACCCTCAACAAATGCTCATCATCTTATTAATTACACGTAACACAGATGCTAGATCCTCGTCGCCATGTTTAATGTCATGCCGGTGGACCACGCTTAGCTCACCATAGCGAACACCATGTAGTTGTTTCTTTAAAACATCTTTATGAGGTAGATGAAATCGTTCGCGGAACTCTGTTGTAAGTAGAGATTTTTATGATTATGGAAAGTTTATGTCTTAATGTCACCTTTTCGTGAACACATGGCATAATCCCTATTTGTAGTGATTCATATTACATGTTTATCATATGGTCGTAATTGCACTATTATGGGAATCAATATTTTTGTCACTTTTGTTTCAAAGTTGGGACATGAAAAAGATGTTTTATAAATATTTTTCTACATTAAATAGTCTCTTTCAAAATTGTTTTACAGCCAGTCATACTGCGATACACATTTTTATTCGTGTCATGCTAGTCTTTAAAACGTGACCAGGCCCCGATTTCTCGAAACAAACTTAAGTCTGAGTTTTGACTTAAGTTGAGTTTTTACTCAAATTTGAGAAAATGCATTTCGCAGAATGACTAAAATCGATAATAAACTCAAACATAGTAGACAATTTGAGTTTGGTGGATAGATTACTTAAGATGTTTGGGCTCTTTTATTTAAAAAATGCAGTTGAGTTTAAAATTCAGCTGTTTCAAATTGTCAAACTCAGTTTGAAATTTGAGTAAAAACTTAAGTTTGTTTCGAGAAATCGGGGCCAGATTGCTAATCTTATCGACTGGACTGGAAGGGGAGCTGATAAAGATTATATTATTATTATTATCATTAAAATGATCTGCATTATCAGACTTAATCACGGTGTTGCCAGACAGACGTTTTTGATGATTTGTGTCGTTATTTTCCATTGGTTTAGACTTAACTGCATATGGATATAGGGTTGGGTTTAAACATTCAGAGAGGGATGTTACACAGTATATGGTCGTGCAAGTTCGTGGTATACAATGGACTCAAGTAATGGCGCAAAGGATTCCCCTTAAACATTATGTTATGTTCAAAATCTTGCACAGCAAACATGCCGTTCTTGTTTTATTTGTTTGTTTGTTTATTTGTTAGTATGCAATATTTCAGCGGTGTTTGGTGGGATTATTGTGATTATCACCATGAGCATCGATCTAAGACGGGGTGGGGTGGGTGGGGGGATGGGGGTGGGGGTGTTTTGGTTGGTGTTAGCCAGCCTAGTGGTTAAAGCATTCGCTCGTCACGCCGAAGGCCCGGGTTCGATTCCACATGGGCAAAATGTGTGTACCCATTTTTTCTGGTGTCACCCGTCGTGATATTATTGGTATATTGCATAAAGTGGCCTAAAACCATACTCACTCACTCACTATGATTGGGACATTTTGACATTTGTCAACAATGTCAGCAAGCCTGACTGTCCGGTCCTGTTTGTCAAACACCCCTGATGTTCACGGGCCACATCCTGAATGTGGCGATTAGGGTTAAAACGGGACGGGAACACGAAGGTACACGAAGGTCAATTGTTATGAGTGCTCGAGTGCTCATATTGAACGCCCGGAGGCGATAGATCTGAGGTCGGACAGCGATTGAGACATCTCGTCGGGTTGGGTGAATGCTCGCCAAGAAAAGGTTTAGAAATGAATTTTAAAACGCAATTTTTCCGCACTCTGAGACAAAATCCTGTGACGAGGTTGCTCCTGTCACAATGACATATTCATGTGAAGTGCAAGTTCTAGTGTCAGATGTTGAACCTACTGGTGTGGGTAAATACAAGCATTTGTCCTTTTCCACCAACAAGACCGCTGTTTTAGTTTCATCTCGTCTTACTTACATCTTGATAAACTGATGTAGACAGTGTCTTCCCTTACATTTTGATAAACTGACTTGGACAGTGTCTTACTTACATCTTCATAAACTGACGCGGACAGTTTCTTAGATACATCTTCATAAACTGACGTAGACAGTGTCTTACTTACATCTTCATAAACTGACCTGGACAGTGTCTTACTTACATCTTCATAAACTGACACGTACAGTTTCTTAGATACATCTTGATCAACTTACTTTGACAGAGGTAAGTCTGAATAAAAGCAGAAAATGCATATTAATAACAGATAAACTGATTGTGCCATACAAGAATGTAAGTTAATGGGTTAATTTACATAGCCAGGCTTATTCATGACTACACAATGAATACACACTTTCTCAGTAAAGTACAGATTCTAGTACTTTTGTTGGGTTGAGTTCCATCCGGGATTCGAACCCACACCACCAGAGTCAAGCACCTAATCGCGAGCACACAAAGGCAGCCGCCTAACCAATTACTAGCATTACCCTTTCTGAAGCACACATTCTAGTAGTTTTGAGGGGTTGAGTCTCATTCGTGCTTTGATCCCCATACTCTCGGATCATGATATAAGATTTAAGTCCCGTTGTGTGATGTTGCCGGAACATTATCAAATGCGGCGTAAAAAAATACTGAACTCACTTAACACACGCACACTATAGATGCTGTTAAAGATTCAAAAACAGAAAAGAAACATCCACTTGACAGCACTTAAACCTTACTAATTGGTACTTATCGCATATAGCGTGGGAGAAAAAACGCCACGGTCGTAGAGCTACCCAGCTAACAATTTCACAGTGTTACAGCGTTATTCTGTGGACTCCCATTTACCTTATCACAACGTTGTGACGTGACGTTGAGATGTGTCATTTTCACGTCGTCACATTGTTAAAGTTATTTGATGCTAACGTCTTTTACGTTGTCTTAAAGTTCTATTTACCTAATATATTCAGTAACACATCTTTTACTTGTAATACTTTAGATTTTAAATTTAATTTTTTGTTATCTTCTACTGCTTTCTTATCTAACTTAGGTTTAATGTGTTTTAAGATGTTTTATTGTCGTAAATGTTTTAAGAATATTTCAACTAATTCTATCTAGTCATTATTTTATTAAATATTTTTACAATTTTATGTACCTTATATATACATTGTACTGTACGGTTATTTTATCTTATTGAAATAAGTTATATTTTACAGTTTTATACCGTGTCTCTTCGGCCTATTGAGGCCCTTCATAATCTATTTTATCTTTGTATATTTATTGTGTGTATACCTTGTAATTTTATGCGTGACACATTAATAAACAATTCATTCATTCATTCATTTAAAGTTAATAGTTGAATAGTTTTCCCAGTAGTGAACAGCACATAAGAAACAAAGCAGAAAATAACTTCAATGTTTATTCGTCACTTTGCATGTTGTTTTGGCCGTGTGCTTTCTGAAGCTGTAGCTGAATAGTGAAGAAAGAATCTCAAAGTGAATTTTTTTACAGAAAACTCTATTGTGACACCAAGTTACTGTGTAATAATCGATACACAACGTATATATGTACCGTTGCTGTAACGTTGTGAAATGCCGTTATAAAATGACGTAATACTAACATTGTGACCACGTTGTGTCATGACGTTACCAATCTACAACCTTCCCACATCGTTGCGGAAATGTTGTGTGTTAGCTGGGTATACTGTTTGATCTAATTTGGTTAATCCCGCTGCTCGTCTCGTCCGTTCACTCATCTATCGGCACAGGTGACGACTCTAAAACAGCGCATCTTTCACCTCGGTAGTTTCTCGGTGAGGAGCCGCATAATGTCCGGCGCGTGACGGTCAAAGGTCAGACGACGACGTCACGGTCGTTAACCGCGATCACAGATCGGAAGCAGACGGGACAACTGACAGAATACACGTTCACCCATGACGCGATACACGTCTGGAGAATATTTATTTGTTGTGACATGAATGTATAATGATGTGATGACGGTAGTGTTAATATTTGTTCTCTTCAACATCGTCATCCGTAATTCACGGAAAGAGGCGAGTAGTTACGAATGCGTCATTGTATGTCATTGTACGAAATTCGCATAATGACGGAAAGCGCACGTAAAATATCCAAATCATCATCATCATCATCTTCATCATCTTCATTCATTCGAGAGACTGACTGACTGAGTTTGGTTTTACGCCGCTTTTAGCAATATTCCAGCAACATCACGGCGGGGGACACCAGAAATGGGCTTCACATGTGGGGATTCGAACCCGGGTCTTCGGCATGATCATTCGAGAGAAACATCAAGAAAAAGAAGCTGTCAGAATAATTTAGTATCTGGATATACAGACTTGTATTCCCTATCTCGATTATTGACAGACCGCCGCGACATAGCTGGAATATTGCTGAGTGCGGCGTAAACAACAACCATTAGGTATTTCCCAATGACGTCATTGGATGTCCCATCCGCTGATTATATGTGGAGAACTTACACTTAATTCATTGTCACATTGTGAGGACATATTGTTTTACAAGCATATCTGTGTGACATTCCGCAAAATTCCAACACGTAAACGTTTTCTTCTGATGATAAAATACTGCAAGACTACCCGACAACA